TTGAACGGCCCTCTGAATACCAGAAAAGGGGTCCCTAGTTCGATTCCTCGTGGTGACAAATTTTTGCATTTCGAGTTGACGTTTCAAAATTCGCGCAAAATGGAGTTAGCATGAATAATTAGTACCATATTCATGATTAGGACCGTCAGTAACCCTTACAAATAGACTTTGATTGAAAAACTGGTGAAAAAAATGTGTGTAGGGACCCCTTTTCCTGAACGGCCCTTGAAAACAAGAAAATCGAACTAGGGACCCCCTTTTCTGGTATTCAGAGGGCCGTTCAGGAAAAATTAACCATGGTTCTGTGGTTCCCGCATGTGCCCCTATATCATGCAAAAGACCGTTTTGAAAAAGCTTGGCACACCCTGAAAGACCTTCCTTGTTAGCTTCAACGCTATAACTTTCGCTCCTTCATCTTTGGAAGATGTCTACGTAGAGCAGAAGGGAGAGCTTCGGAAAAGAGAGCATGAATTAGCGTCTCAGTATTACTGGGCTACTATATCATAATGTTGAGTGCAATCAAGTACTTCTTACTTTCGACAACAATTTGTAAAATGAGGGCCTAACCAAAAAACAGCAATATTTAAAATTTTCAAGCACCTGCTCCTTTCGACAGGGAAAAGGGGCGTGGCGAGTAGTGCTGTCTATCCCGCCAACAGTCCAGGAACCAAATCCCATCATGGGTCACGCAGGAAACCAAGGTTTTCTTGTCGTCGTTTCATCGTTTTATTGGTACCCGATTGCATCCCGAGCAGAAAATGCTGACTTCTGCGAATGCGCAGCCTATTCCAAAAGGAACTGAACAAGACTCAGTGCTTCATCCTACGTTTAGGTCATTTTAAAAATGTGTTGCAAATTGTTCACCGCCGATGAGTGAAAAATTTCAAAGTCAGCTGAGAACGCGAGATAGCACATTCCAATGGAACACATGGTCAGAAAGATGAAATCATCGATGTAATCAATTATCTCGAAATCGGAAAAAAAGGATTGCACAGCAAAAGACTGTATAGCAACAAGGACTGCATAGTTCTTAATCTCTGCAGCATCCGAACAGCCATAACAGCCACTTCCACTCGAACATGACTTACATTCAGTTTCCGCTTTTTGTGGAACAAAAAAGGAAGTCAAAAAAACTTGCAGAGCTTTTGAAACGCTGTTAAAAATGACCACGGGAGGAGATCCTTCTGACTCATATGTGCTCCAGGTGTTCGTGTTTAAAATAAAAGGATAAAGGATAAAGCATTTGCCGTTGATCAATCCCTTTTTGGGATGCGGCACGCATTCTACTTCCATTTGTACATTCGTAGTGGCGTTTGAATGCGATGTGGCCTATACAATGACTTGCGGGGGCCAGCCGATGTACAAGTCAGTGTTTTTATCCTCCCAGACAAGTCTGGTACCAATTAACCGACCCCGGAGGGATGGAAGGCTTGGTTGGCCCGGGCGACTCACGACCCAGGATTTGATCCCCGGACCGCTCGCGTGGTAAGCGTGCCACTTGCCACTACACCACTTCCGCCCTGTAAAATATATAAGAAGTTATTTCCAGCAGAAATGATTCGGCGGAATCTCACGATAGTATTAGGTAGAGGATCGAGGACCATGGATAAGTGGGCCGTCTGCTTGCAGAATGCTTCGTGTAAGGCAGCTTGAATTAGAGGAACTGGAAAAAAGCCGGCGTTCACATCCACAACTAAAACTTGTTCATGCAGTGCTCTATAATAAGCAAAGAACTAATTCCGTTTATACGCTCGTCTACTGAAGTGACGACCATCAGTCGGTGCTGCATTCACTGCCCTGCGTCGAGGGGGTTCCATCAGCCAAGGTATTTAGGAATGCTCGGATACTTACAATCTAACGGCCAGACCAAAATCGGCCATGCAGCACATTCCGGGACGCTTGACTATGATATTCTTTGATTTGATGTCTCGGTGAGCGATTTGTGGCTTTCGTCGGCTTCCTGTTCCGACATCACGCGGAAGCGTGTGAGGAGTCGGATACACACGCAAAATATGAGCCTGAAAAAAGATTATTCTTGAAAAAAAGTTTCCTTGAAAGGATGCCACTCATTTTCTGGAACGACATGGTGCAGAAATGGGACAAATGAAAAGCGGTCTGATTTCTGTTGAAGAGTTGACGAAATTTTGCAAATATCAGGATGGGGGATTCAAGTGCGAAAAGTCATCTACAAAAGAGAATGTGATTGTTTTGCCACAAAGCGGAATAGGTATGTGAATGGTCGCAGCAACAAATCAGTGGGAAAAAGTTTTCAAACCTAGTAAGCCTGAGTTGTAGTGCTTTCTTGATTGCGGATCGAGTGCTTTGCTCCTGTTGAAGGTAATCGTATAAAGATCCAAGTGGATGATAATCAGTAACCAGTATCATTTGAGTAAATGAGTCCATACTGAAGATATCGGCAGCGACATACTCTGAACGAACACGTACTTTCACTACTGTCTTCGCTTGCTTTCTGTTTCCCTTTCTATCGTTACTTCCAGTGCAACCAGCAAAGGTAGGCTATTTGTCCTAACGCTGCAGGAACGGATAACCAAAGGACAACGGTTCTATGAATAAGTCTAGTTTGTGGAATCTGTACTAACAACATGATGTAGAGAACATCCTGAGTGCAATTGTCGGAAGGGGGGGGGGGGCAGAATATTCACAGAAGATCGGGAGAAGGGGCTGGCTTCTTCAAAGAAGGCAAATATTATAAAACTGCGTTGATTTGACCTGCGGACATCCCGAACGTGCGTTTGAGCAACATGAGGCCATTCCAAATGATTCCTCCTTTCGAAGGCGGAGCTTGGAGTTTGGAAAGCAGAAGAATCAGCTAGAGGTGCTCTGTAGTGCAGCGGAGAAGAAAAATATCATTAGAAGCGGCTCAAAACCGAAGAAATTATTCACCTTCCTTGCCCGTAGATTTGAGCATTGATGCGGCTCCAATCGATGCTGCCCTCTCCAATATTAATTGTTCTCTCTGCTGAACTGCTAGAGTCAGGCGGCGAGGGTTACCGTGCGGTGGGGCGTGCAGCAGGCGCTAAAGGGCGTGGGTACAGCTTGCCAAAAAAACCGGCTGGAAGATACTCTTGACTGCAAGCCGCATCGCTTTACGAGCGGGCCTGCTTTTCTACTAGCTATATTTTTGACCTTCCTCTACCTGCGCTATATTGCGGTGCAATTTTTTTCCAACGCACGAGCATTTCTGAGTTTTAATTAGGAACTACGTTATTTGAGAAATTCTCACGCAGTATGTTCTCATGATTTAAGGCCAGTTGGCGTCTCGTAGATCTCCCGCTCGTTGTTCCATGAATCTTCCTCAGTTGTATAGAAAGTCTAAACACTCACAAATCAGCTGACAGATCTCGCCATGAGGTATGAAAAATTCACTAACCTTGACGGCAACAAGACTCCCTCGGAACCTCGCCAGGCGGACTTCTCCATATCTTGAATGATGACTTGACAGTAAATCAAATCGCATAAAAAACCACCGCAACCAGTGATGAAATCGAACCTGCCCTTTCCGATGATTTTTTCGATGATGAGATCATTGGCAACTGTCCGTTGCACCATAGCCGCATTTCCAGAACCCGAACCACTTCTGGAAAGAATTGAAAAAATAAGTGCATGTACATGTGAAATTGACAATGAACGAAGCGAGCTGTATAAATCCTTATAATAACTCGGAACATATGACACAGATATAATTTAGAATGAGCAACTTTACAGTAACCCATGATAAACTGCATCTTCAGGAAGGGATGAAAAGGGAGAATGGTCAATTTTTATGTGGTTGCCGAAGAGCGGCTTGTTGAGCACTGTCCTTCGATGGGATCATTTTTACGAGACGAGACCGAGTAATGGGGTGTACGCGTTTCAAAAGCTGTAATTGTCATGCAGGAAATTCTAGAGGCGTTGAAAACATCTTCAAGGAACTATATATATCGAAAACTGCAAAGAATATCGATTTTGTCGTCATCGATGAAGAGTTTTAAGGCAGTTCTGCAGCAAAATTTAGAACGTCAGAGCTGCTACGATTTTTCGCAAGGCACGTTGACGACTTTTTTCGTTGAGTTACCATCAAGTTCAACTCAGATTAAACTCCCTCCCATTTTTAGCAACTTATTTCCTAGTAGATTTTATTGAACAGTGTTGTCAGAGTGCGAAATGGCCTTTCTTGCCGTGGAATTGTGATGTCTAATCGAATTATCGTAAACAGCCGTGATGCGAAAAGAACTGACCCTGAATCGTCGTGAACCATCGGCTCGAGTTCGGGCGTCGATGGTGATTCCTTCTCATTCTTCTGTTTGTTCACTGGAAACCTAATGTTTCACATAATTCAGAGATATCGAGTTTCACGAATGTATCGAAGCGTAATTTCGTAAGACAGTGCAAAGGACTTCAAGGCTTAGTTAATGGATGGAGTTAGTGTGTGTTAGAAACAGCGATAATCATTGGTCACCTTTACACCTCCGTGAGTGTGCAGCCTCTGAAGATCCGGCCTATCAAGCCAACGCCCATCTGTTCCAGCTAGGGACAGCCGTGGACGTTGCACAAAATTCAAAATTTTCACGACCTTTTAGGGGTATGCCGACCCGACTGCCATGTGTCACCACCAGCAGCCCGGGTGAAGTTATTTCACACCGAGTCCTTCTCATCACTGCTCCTCCTTCCCCTCCCCACCCCCACCAACCAGTCGACATATTCTATCTGGGCCAAAATTTCCTCCAAAACAGCCGTTGAGAAATGAAACACGGCGGCAAATACAGATATGTGGTTGAGATGTGAGTCTAAAAGTAGCAGATGTTCTAATTTCATCTATCTCGATGCCATGCAATTTCTTGCGGAAGAGGGTACCGTTTGAAACGCCCCCTCTTATCACCACGAAAATACGACCCCCTAATCACAACCAAACGCATAAAAATCAGAAGCACGACCTCTCTTCAAAATACCCCTCCTCCTTAATCACTGCTCAGGGCACGGTTCACCCCGATTCTTATTCATATTCGTTATCCAACGAACTCAGAATCTGTTGAAGCAACAGTCCCAGCAGGGTGGGCGTGGTCGGAAACGACTGCAATCCCCTCGGCCGATTCCGACCACGCCCACTTCAGCTCCCTCCCTAGCGGCTTTCCAAGGTGAGTTTTTGTTCAGTCACACTTCTTACGTTCTTGACTAGGGGCTGAACAGCTCCGAAGTGGGAATCGGCCGAGGGGATTGCAGCCGTTTCCGACCACGCCCACCCTGCTGGGACTGTTGCTTTACAGGCAGTAGGAGTCGCAATTGTCTCATACAATTCCCGGAAAACAGCAATTCAATTGCCTCCTACGAAACAAAACATCGAATGATCATAAAATGGGAGGGGGGGAGGAGAATGGGAGAATAAAGAAGAGTAGAGATGGAGAATATAGAACGGAAAATGACCGGCAACAAGACACGACTCAATCCAATAAAACTCACCTAGCGGAAGCCATTTTCCTGAACTCCGCATGGCGTTTCTGGAAATATTGAAGGAGACAAACTCCAGCGATAATGCACAGCGCAATGACTAGCGGGACGATCACGTAAAGTGCTGGATGAGATTTGTGCTGAAGCCATTCGTCGTCGTAGAACTCTGCATGGAGAAACATTTTTCGTGGAGAAATTGGCTGAAGCTATGCCGAAAAAGTACCGATTTCCTTAGGCAGCTGATGGTACGGTGGAGGTTCGATTCGCAGGTTACAGTAATTACCCTCGTAACAGCACGCGATGCTCTTTGGTGTTCGATGAGGGGAACGAAATGAGTTACACTAAATCACAGCAAGTATCAGAGGTACTTGTAGTTGAAATCACTGTATAGGGTTACTGTGAGATGTGACGCCGAGCTGCCTTTTTCCAGAGCGCAGCCGTACTGATGTACCGTCTCCATGCGCCTCAACTCGGCATTGAACACCTGAACACAAAAAGAGCCAATATCTTGTTTTCCATGACAAAAAAAAACCTTAAATGAGTATTAATCCCCCCCCCCCCTCCCTTTCTTCCTTGAATAAGATGTATCGCAAGGATATTAGTCAACGGTCGTTAAAGGTAAAACTAATTATATTCAGTAAAAATTATACACAAACGATCCATTCGTCTCTTGCTTAGTGACCCTGATAGAAGATGTGGTGCGGGGCGGGATGTGAGGTGGCAAGTGACTGCGCTTAGCAGCGCCGGTTTCTTGGATCGAATCCTGTCGTGCGTGGTCCGAGCCTTTCCTCCGGGTCGGCTGATTGGTACCAGACTTCTCTGAGATGATAAACACACTGACTCGTACATTGGCTGGCCCCCCGCAAGTCATTATTAAGCGTGAATCTCATTCAGATAAAAGTACCCAAAAAGGGTTCGATCAACGGCTTTATCTCTTATCCTTAATAAGTTCGAGCGAGCTCAGAACACATGAGGGATAATACTGCTAGTAGTGATAAACGTCTTGTGAAAAGAACGCCAATAATTGCGCTAGCGCTCCTGTCTTACTCAGCGTGGTAAAAAAACGGATTGTCAAGCAGTTTCGTTGCGGTGGCGATTTACAACCACCAAGATCGGATTAGTGGGTCACAGTATAATTTAAGCTGTGGGTACCGAGTTGAACAAAAATGAAACAAAGACGTAAAGAAAACCGTCGATGATATTTGAAACACAAAACCCTCGAAATAAGAAAGGGGCGGGGCCAGACGAGTTGAGCAAAGTTGCCTGCTCCACGGCTAAGCTAACCCGCGCCATTGTGATTAGCCGCCTGCGCCATACTCCCCGTGGCATGGCGTGGAATGTATGACGCATACTTCACTCATCGAAACGCTAAGGTTAATCATCAAGTGCTGACTTTTTAAGACCATTGCGCCATGGCTGCGCCCTTTCAGGCCGCAAAAGCAAAACATCTGTGACATTCGTGGGCTACTCCACCCCACACTGAATAGATTCTTCAACACGTGCTCGAGGTGTTCCTTTGAGTCCTTGCCACTGTCACTATCCTCGATAACTAATGATCGACGATGAGATAATGAAAGCGTGCTCGCAGGGCATGCACAGGCAGCAGGTTACTTTCTCATAATACCGCATAGTTCAACCTTTTTCCATAGTCACCCTCTCCCTCACTAGGACTCAAGCGTCTCCTCTATAGTGGGAATGCCCCTTTAATCATAAATTTTGTCGAGCCACCTTCTTTCAGATTAGTGGTCTCAGTTATCGCTGCGAGCCCGGTGTCCCGATGCAACCCCCAGACCCTTTTTTAGGCCAAATAAATGTTCTCGCAATGTATTCGTTCAAAACTGTTTTATGTGTTTATGAATATGTGTTTCATTCAAGTCGCACCCCTTCCTTTACCAAGTAAATTTTTCACATTCACCCCAAAGTTTTCAAAAGCAGTCATCTATTATCAACGCCATACAGAAATATATTCTACACTGAACTACCTCCTTCATGAAGTGGAAGCATGCCGCATGGGTGTGCTTTATGCACGGTGTTATTATGAATCGCATACGTCTCCACCATAATTGCAGAAACAGAGATTTCTTGTTGCATCGTCAACGTTCTCCAGGCTGAAATAGCGCTGGATTAGCTCGTTTCCAGCAGAATATTCATGCTGAATTCGGACAGATCTTTCTACTGATCCCATAAGCAGAACTTCTATGAGAGCCTAGTTTAATAGCCGTTCCCAACGAAAAAGATGTGTGCATGAATAAGTTCCTTCTAGCGTGAATGGGTGGCTCTGAGCGTTTGTCAGTGGAGAGAGCTTCCCAATAAAATGAAAAAGGGATCAAAAGGAGAGAACGGTTTTATATTTTATACGCGAACTTATGAGATTATGGATCCAAGCTGTGACTAAAGAGAAGCAAACACCGAGGGAAAGCTGCCGAAGAGCTCTTTCACTCATAGCCTACGCGATAGTCACAGTAAGTTGAGCTTATCAGGCGCTTATGAATAAATTGTGGGGTAGGGGGCGGCGGTGTGGTGTTAAGCGGGGGGGCGGAGGGTGCTGGGCCGCTAGGGGGTGTTAGCCAATTTGGCGACTTACGATACTGATAAGAGTTGCTGGAATCCACTTGTGAATCACAAGGGCACAGAGCTTTAGGAGATAATTCGTTGCTTTCGCGTGCTCATGAGCTTGTGAGGTTAGATGCAGTATACCACATGCTGACGCGTTCGCAAGTGAAGCAGGTTAAAACCTTCGAAATCGCGCTTTGGTATTGCTTCAAGCCCACCATTGCTCAGCCTCATAAAAGCCGGCCATGTGAGCCTGCAGGAAACCTTCTGAGACTCTGGCTGGGATTTGGAAGCGTACGGAACAAAGAAAAATTGTCCACCCCCCCCTCGTTCTGACTTCTTTTTGTGAAACTGATGCATATCTGGGTGATTCCTACGCATTTGACACTGCGGAAAATTGTTGACTTTATTTTGGGCCAATAGCTTTTACGATTTCTGGTAAATATTCATGCCAAGCTTCAGTAGAGCCGCTCAGCTCGTCCTAATCACAAACTAAACAGGTGGGCGGAACGGTTTTGGGGCGGATTGCTTTCTGGAGATTCCTGCTCAGCAACCAGTGCACCCATCCGGCGTGAAAAAGCCGCCACCACCTCGCTTCCACTGTGCGGCAAAGTTTATGCTTCGTGTGGTGCATATTTGCTTCCACCGATTTGCGGCTCCCTCTTCTATGGTAATTCGCTTCCTCTTGGTGGCGCGGTTGAAAAGGTAGCTCATTGGAAATTATGTTGGACATGATCAGTGATGCACGAAAGAAGAAACAACAGGAAACCGGCACACGACCCGAGAAATAGGAACCCTCACCCTTACCCGTCATCTGTCACCGTCGATGAGCTCAGGGAGGCCTACAGTAACTGCTTCAGCCTGAAGCTCTTACATAATTTCTTGGATCGATTCAACGTGGGATAGTTTCCTAGGGACATTAGCTCTAACTATGCAAACCCCCTCGGAACCCGCCCTTCGGAACCCGTCGTAACGGTACACGATCAGTCGAGAACCCCATTGAGCTCGACCAGAGCACCATGTTTCCGGGGCAAACTTTTCTGATGCCGTCCACGTAGATGGCCACTATGAAGATTTTCTTATGAAATGAAATGCGCTCTTCAATTCTAAGTTGGGAGCACACGCTTTGAGCTGAGCAAAGTGTGATTAAATCCATTTGAGTCTGGAGACAAAATGTCTTTTTTTATTGCCCCCTGTATATTCCCGTCATACCTGGTCGCCATTGGCAAATTGGCGAATTTACCTTCCCTGCGCTGGGGCTTCCATTCTGAACCTGGGTGCTCCCTTCAAATCAACTATAAGAAATACAGCGGATTTACAACAATTTCTCTTGGTTTCTGAAATTCAATATACTGGATGCAGTAAAGTGAATAATGATAGGTGGCTAAGTGCCCTCAGCGCCTATTTTAGATAGAGCGTGAAATTTAAAGCAAGGTCTTCAGCCTTACATGGTGCAAACACACACTAAAAGATCCAAACGACCTCTATGTGTTACTAAGGTTAATGACAGTAGTGAACATGAATAGTTTTCATACCAATATGCTCCTTGGCTAGAGGAGGCGCCGTGCGTCTTGCTATTTCGAATACCAACAACCGATTGATCATTAGGACTCACCTCAACTTTTCTGGCGATTTCCCACAACACTAGTGCATAGGAGTACATGTCAGCCATTTTGAATTGAGCGAAAAAGTTCGGATCAAGCGTTTTCCTGATCACTTCCGGAGCCATGTACCTCTTCGTGCCCACCTGAACGTTCACCTTCTCCGGGATCAAGCGGTCCTCGCTGAAAAGGAAAGCTTTCCATACAATTGGGCCATAGCAAAAACTTGTATGTCTAAAATCTGTTTCCTTACTGTCACGTTAAATGAATTTAAGGCACCACTATTCATTCTGTGTGAGAGAATCTCTCATTTAGGAACAAAGGAAAATAGCATGCAATGCGAAATCACAGTTTGGTTCAATTTCTACCAATCAGTTTTGGCTTCCGCTGGCTCTTGCCTTATTGTTAGTGAGGCCTCAGCCTCTTTTTCCCTGTTACTGTAGACCGTTGAGAGGTTGCTGCTTTTTCGGGGCAGAGAGTGCTCAAGCACATGAAAGCAAATTCTGGTGGATTGGCTAGGAAACGAACCCGGTCACCAGTGCACCAGGAAGGCGAGCATTCACCAGTGAATCATCACTGGAAAGCGCTGCCTTCATGTGTAAGTAACATGGAATAAGCGACGCTTATAGTATTAAGAAAGCATCGGGGTTACTGCAACGCCCTGAAACGCCTTTGGTGCCCGGTACTATGCCCCACCCAAGTAAATATCTTGTCAATGAGGCACTGCCGCAGCATAAGACAAACAAATACTGCAAAATCTGAGTGAATAGCTACATAAGGGAAAATAGGCGGAACCGGAGAAGTGAGTTAGTACCAGGAAAATGTTCCGACGGAATTCCCAGAAATCGTCACGATATATTTATTAGAGATGAATACGAGGACGTCAGGATTGGCCGCCTGCTGCAGGAATGCTTGTGGGTGTAAGGCAGCTTGAATTAGAGGATTTGGAAAAAAGCCGTCGCATCCAGAACAAAAAGTTGTTCATGTAGTGCTCTATAATAAGCAAAGAACTAATTCCGTTTATACGCTTGTCTACTGAAGTGACAAACATCAGTCGGCCTGCATTTTCACTGCCCCTCCCTCGAGGGGTTTCCCATCAGCTCCACATATTTAGGAATGCTCGTATACTTACAATCTAACGGCCAGACCAAAATCGGCCATGCAGCACATTCCGGGACGCTTGACTATGATATTCTTTGATTTGATGTCTCGGTGAGCGATTTGTGGCTTTCGTCGGCTTCCTGTTCCGATCACGGAAGCGTGGAGATGCTCGATACCACAGATGGAGCTAAAATAGATATTTGGAAAAAAGTTCTCTGAAAGAAGCCCATTGATTGATTATGGGAGAAACGAAGTGCCGCAGAAATGAGACGAATGAAAAACAGGTTTCTGTTTGAAATTTCTGTTTGAAATTTCTGTTGAAATTGACGAAATTTGCGAGAATATCAAGCATGGATCTGAGCTCGAGAAGATGCATACAAAAAGGGGAGAATGCATGTTGTTTTGCACAAAGCGGAGATAGGTATCGGAATTCCAGCACAAAATCAAGTGGGGAAAACGTTATCAATAACTTCGTATAGCATACATTATACGAAGTTCTTCTTGAGTGGGTGGTCAGTGCTTGCTCCTGTTGAAGGTAATCGTATAAAGATCCAAGTGGATGATAATCAGTAACCAGTATCATTTGAGTAAATGAGTCCATACTGAAGATATCGGCAGCGACATACTCTGAAAACACGCTTACGTTCACTACTGTGTCTCGCTGCTTTTCTGTTTCCCTTTCTATCATACTGTCCAGCTGCAACAGCAAAGGTAGGCTATTTGTCCTAACGCTGCAGGAACGGATAACCAAAGGACAACGGTTCTATGAATAAGTCTAGTTTGTGGAATCTGTACTAACAACATGATGTAGAGAACATCCTGAGTGCAATTGTCGGGGGGGGGGGGGGGGGATATTCACAGAAGATCGGGAGAAGGGGCTTCTTCAAAGAAGGCAAATATTATAAAACTGCGTTGATTTGACCTGTGGACATCCCGAACGTGCGTTTGAGCCAACATGAGGCATTCCAAATGATTCCTACTTTGAAGGCGGAGCTTGGAGTTGGAAAGACAGCCCAGAAATCAGCTAGAGGTGCTCAGTAGTTCAGCGGAGAAGAAAAAGGTCATTAGAAAGCGGCTCAAAACCCGAGAAATGGGACCCCTTCTTGCCCGTTGATTTCCGCATTGATGCGACTCTCATCGATGCTGCCCTCTTCAACATTAACGCTCTCTCTGCTGAACGGCTAGAGTCAGACGGCGAGGGGTTACCTATCAGTGGGCGTGCAGAGGCGCGAGCGGCGCATGTACGGCCCTGCTACGCCGCTAACCATAAGCGCTTGATCTTCGCTGCGATACGCGCATCGTCTTTGCACACCCCAGACGCCTGAATCCCCTTGGCCTGAATTTCCACTAGGTATATTTTAACTTCTTCGACCTCCGATCTTATTGTGGGTCTTCCTTCAATGAACGGTCTTTCTGGCGGTTGTAACTAAAGGCAGAATTCACGATGAAAAAGCAACCCATTTCAAATTAAGGGGATGGTGAGTGGTACAAGAAAGAAGGAAAAACCATGAGAAACGGCCCAGAACCCGAGAAATGGGACCCCTTCCTTGCCCGTTGATTTGAGCATTGATGCGACTCTCATCGCTGTGCCCTCTTCAACGCTAACGCTCTCTCTGCTATCTAATCACTCGCCACGTATAGACCTGCGGCGAGTGATTAGATAGTCGGTGGGCGTACCCCGCCAACCGCGCCAAGAGTGAGCCATGCTAGATCGCCGAGGTCAAATCTTTCGCTGCCAATTGCTTTCGCACCCTCAGGTGGTCCGCATGTCTTCCCACCAGGCCGTGGAATCCTCCTTCAAGAATGCTGTTGCATAGTAAACTCACGCAGTATGTTCTCATGATTGAGCATTTGCGTCTCGTAGATCTCCCGCTCATTGTTCCATGAGTCTTCCTCCGTTGTATAGAAAGTCTAAACACTCACAAATCAGCTGACAGACCTCGCCATGAGGTATGAAAAATTCACTAACCTTGACGGCCACAAGACTCCCTCGGAACCTTGCCAGACGGACTTCTCCATATCTTAAATGATTGACAGTAAATCAAATCGCATAAAAAACCACCGCAACCAGTGATGAAATCGAACCTGCCCTTTCCGATGATTTTTTCGATGATGAGATCATTGGCAACTGTCCGTTGCACCATAGCCGCATTTCCAGAGCCCGAACCACTTCTGAAAGAATGAAAAAAGCATGTACATTGTGAAATTGACAATGAACGAAGCGAGCTGTATAAATCCTTATAATAACTCGGAACATATGACACAGATATAATTTAGAATGAGCAACTTTACAGTAACCCATGATAAACTGCATCTTCAGGAAGGGATGAAAAGGGAGAATGGTCCGTGGCTTCGAGTGGCGCCGAAATCGGGCCCTTGTTTGAGCACCTCTTCCTATGTCCATTTCTTCCAAAGCCGAACCCTGAAAATTGGTGTGCGCGTTCAAAAATTGTAATTGTCAGGCAGGAAATTCTGAGTACGGCGCTTGAGAAACGTCTTGAGGAAATATATACGCGAAAACTGCAAGTATATGCAGCGTCGATTTTGTCGTCGATCGAGGTCAGCGTTATGGCGGCTCTGCACAGCAAAACGTAGAAAGTCGAGCGCTTCCAGGTTTCTCGCAGTCAAGGCATTTGAGTTGGCGGATTTTTTGATCGCTCATTATGTCGGCTAGTCAACCTCACGAAACTCCCTCCCATTTAGCAACTTATTTCCTAGTAGATTTTATTGACAGTGTTGTCAGAGTGCGAAATGGCCTTTCTTGCCGTGGAATTGTGATGTCTAATCGAATTATCGTAAACAGCCGTGATGCGAAAAGAACTGACCCTGAATCGTCGTGAACCATCGGCTCGAGTTCGGGCGTCGATGGTGATTCCTTCTCATTCTTCTGTTTGTTCACTGAAACCTAATGTTTCAGATAATTCAGAGATATCGAGTTTCACGAATGAATCGAAACTTAAGTTCGCATTTGAAACAGGCGACAAGCTACATATGCCATTGATTAGTGTTAAAAACAACGATGCAAATTGATCACATCTGTAACCCCCGCCCGGAGCCCTTAGGCTTATGCAGATGGCCTGCCAAGCCTCCACGGGCCACCAACCACGCGGGCATGCGTGGCGATGCACCAAAATTTCGAACTTCTCGCGACTATAGGGCTCCGACACGACTCTCCACAATCTGCAGTTATGGAGGGGTATCCCACAGCAAAGCCTCCTCACTAATCACTTCCCCTTCTCCACGAACCACTCGATATATTCTAACTGCGCCCAAAATTTTCTCCAAAACTACCGTCAAGATGTGGAAGAGTGGAAGACGGATAAAGGTAAATACATGTGATTGAAAGGTAAGTCAGGACACAGCAAATGCTCTAATTTTGCCTACCTTATGCCACAAATTTCTTTGCGCAACTGGCGTTAGCCGACCCTTCCCTCCGTTGTCCTATCACCAACTGAAAACCTCGAATACGACCGCCACACACGCCAACCCATGAAAACAGAAGTACATTTAGGAGCCTTTCTTTAAAAATTCTAAATGAGACCCCTGTACTGACCTTGCTCAGCCAAGGTTCACCCTGATTTTCTTAATCAGAATTCGCTCCAGAGAACCTCAGAATCTGTAAGTCGCAGCATTACGCCCGATAAGGTGGCGCTAACAGCAGCCGATAACGACATGCGGTAAACCAGCAAGTACGAGTCTGCCAATTTTCCACCAATATACCAGTTCCAGAAAACAGCAATCCACTCGCCACCTCGAGCACAAAACACCGAATGAGCAACAAAATAGAGAGATAAAGTTAACAATAAAATGAAGAAGATAAAAGGAAATGCCCGCCAAGCCAAGGACACGACTCAATCCAAAATCTGAAAACTAAGCTTCCTGAAAAACTTTCTCAAAACTCACCTAGCGGAAGCCATTTCCTGAACTCCGCATGGCGTTTCTGGAAATATTGAAGGAGACAAACTCCAGCGATAATGCACAGCGCAATGACTAGCGGGACGATCACGTAAAGTGCTGGATGAGATTTGTGCTGAAGCCACTCGTCGTCGTAGAACTCTGCATGGAGAACATTTTCGTGGAGAAATGGGCTGAAGCTATGCCGAAAAAGTACCGATTTCCTTAGGTAGCTGATGTACGGTGGAGGTTCGATTCGCAGGTTACAGTAATTACCCTCGTAACAGCACGCGATGCTCTTGGTGTTCGATGAGGGGAACGAAATGAGTTACACTAAATCACAGCAAGTATCAAAGGTACGGTAGTTATGATTACTGTCATACAGAATTACGGTGAGATGTGACGCCGAGCTGCCTTTTTCCAGAGTGGCTAGCCGTACTGATGTACCGTCTCCATGCGCCTCAACTCGGCATTGAACACCTGAACACAAAAAGAGCCAATATCTTGCTTTCCATGACAAAAAAAAACCTTCTTAAATGAGTATTAATCCCCACCCCTCCCCCTTTCTCTCCTTGAATAAGATGTATCGCAAGGATATATTATAACGGTTGTGAAATGGAAAAAAACTATATGTGATTCAGTAAAAAGTGACCAACCGGTCATTCTCTTGCTTATTGACACCTGATAAGATTGGCTCGGCAGTGATGTAGTGGCAAGTGACGCGCTTACCACGCGCGCGGTCTGGGAATCGAATCCTGGGTCGTGCGTGGTCCGGGCCTTCCCTCCGGATCGGTTGATTCGTTACAGGCTTGTCTATGTGAGATGATAAACCCTGATTCCGTTACATTGTAGCCCCGGCAAACATTATAAGGCGAATCTCATTCAAATAAAAGTACGAAATAAATGGAAGTAGAATGCGTTTCGCATCCCAGAAAAGGTTCGGCCAACGGCTTTATCTCTTATTCTTAATAAGTTCGAGCGAGCTCAAAACACATGAAGGATAATATTGCTAGTAGTGATAAACGTCTTGAAAAAAGAACGCCAATAAGCGCGCTAGCGCTCCTGTCATTGTACTAGTGGTAAGAAACGAAGTCTAGCAGTTTCGTGTGCGGTTCGATTTACGGAACCCACCAGATCGGATTAGTGGGGTCACAGATAATTAAGCTGTGGGTACCGAGTTGAATAAAAATGAAACAAAGAAGTAAAGAAAACCGTCGATGATATTTGAAACAGAAAACCCTCGAAATAAGAAAGGGGCGGGGCCAGACGAGTTGTACGAACTTGCCTGCTCCACGGCTCAACTAACCCGCGCGTATTTGAATTAGCCGCTACGCCGTAATCCACGTTGCATGTCATGGGTGTGCGCTACGTAACTCATCCAAACGCTAAGATTAGTCATCAAGTGCTGACTTTTTAAGACCATTGCGCCATGGCTGCGCCCTTTCAGGCCGCAAAAGCGGCACATCTGTGACATTCGTGGGCTACTCCATACCCCACACTGAATAGATTCTTCAACACGTGCTCGAGGTGTTCCTTTGAGTCCTTGCCACTGTCACTATCCTCGATAACTAATGATCGACGATGAGATAATGAAAGCGTGCTCGCAGGGCATGCACAGGCAGCAGGTTACTTTCTCATAATACCGCATAGTTCAACCTTTTCCATACCACCTCTCCCTCCACTAGGACCCAACCTCCCTCTATAGTGGGCAAGCCCCCTTTAATCATAAATTTTGTCGAGCCACCTTCTTTCAGATTAGTGGTCTCAGTTCTCGCTGCGAGCCCGGTGTCCCGATGCAACCCCCAGACCCTTTTTTAGGCTAAATCAATGTTCTCGCAATGTATTCGTTCAAAACTGTTTTATGTTTATGAATATGTGTTTCATTCAAGTCGCACCCCTTCCTTTACAAAGGAATTTTTCACCTTCACCCCAAAGGTTATCAATTCGGCCGCCATATTAACACCATACAGAAATATTATTCTACAATGAAGTACCTCCTTCATGAAATGGAAGCATGCCGCATGGGTGTGCTTTATGCAGGTGTTGTTTGAATCGCATACGTCTCCACCATAATTGCAGAAACAGAGATTTCTTGTTGCATCGTCAACGTTCTCCAGGCTGAAATAGCGCTGGATTAGCTCGTTTCCAGCAGAATATTCATGCTGAATTCGGACAGTTCTTTCCACTAATCCCATATAGCGTGTTTACTAGCCGTTCCTGAAAGAGAAAGTGTTGCCATGAATAAGTTCCTTCTGGCGAGTGGGTGGCTCTGAGCGTTTGTCAGTGGACAGGCTTCCCAATAAAATGAAAAGGTGGATCAAAGGAGAGAACGGCTTATATTTTATACGCGAACTTATGAGATTATGGATCAAGCTGTGACTAAGAAGAGAGGTCTTTACTCATAGCCACCGATAGTCACAGCATGTCAGCTTTCTGGATGCAATAACTGAAAAATAGTATCAGCCATTTTCGCTCCTTATGATACTCGTAAAAGTTGTTGAAAATTATGTGGGATTTACGGACCGCAAGGCTTTGAAGCAGATGACGAAACATCAGGAAGGATCTGATCTACGGGGGTGCCGATGGTACAGGCCATGGCCGAGAAAGAGCAGTGAAAAAACCGATAGAAACCGCAAAACGGGGCACCTTTTTTTGCTCGTTGATTTTCACTCATAAACAGGTAATAGCTCAGAAAGTGGACATATGAACGAGTTCACCGCAACGCGTTTGATGGCACCATGCCAAACTACGCTTTAATCGAGATGCTCCATTTGCGCCGCTGCTGGCCACGCAGCTCGTCCAAATCAACAAGTAAACTTGTGGGCGGATCGCTTTTGGGGGCGGAGTGCTTTCGAAGTCCTGCTCAACCAGCGCACCTTTGTTGTGAAAGCGGTAATTTGTTTTGGTATGTTCATGGGCATATGAGTTTACCGACATCCTGACCGTTTTCGCGTGAATAGCATTAACCCATTGGCGACATTGCGGCTCGACGCGGGGACGCACTTTTTTTGCCACGACGGACAATGCGGCTCGATGTGGGGACGCAGCATTGAGATAACTCTTCTCCGCAGGATTTCCAGAAGTGTTCCTATAGCATACTAATCAGGAAGGCGTTGTCATACTTACGGTATTAATGGTCAGTGCATATCTTCCTTAGTTGATGTTTTACACGAGCGGTACTTGAAAGTGATTTTCCAAGGCAAAGCTTGTTATTTTTGAATGCATCCGGCTGGCTTTTCGCCTGGAGTCAGCTAGAGTAATGCTACAACATTTCACAAAGAGAGATCTGGATCCGACCCCATTTACGGGTTTTAAAGTGGAGATTTGAAGTTTTTCTGGCATGCTCCAATATACACCCTCGGCAAAACCTAAAGATTTACGCTCATTTTGGAAGCGGTCTGCAATCATACGAAACTTGCAAAGTTCTAACAGTTCATGCTTCAAGATTCAACATTTTTGGTGCAGGTGGTTAGCCGCATTATGACACATTTTTCGAAAATGTCAAAAAAGGCGCGGTCCGACGGCGGCAGACAAGCGAAAAATCGCAATTGTCGCCAATGGTGTTTAAAAACTTGCAATCGTGTTTTGTATTACTCAAGTCCCACATGCTCAGATTTAGTAAGAGCCGGCCATAGTGAACTGCTGAAGAGCCTTTCTAAACGCAAGTAAGATAGGGTAAGTATATAACAATAACTAATAGTACAGATTCTAGTCTGGATTTTGGAGCGTGTGAACCAATATAAAAGAATGTCTACCACCGCTTCCTCTCCTCCTCCCCCCCCCGCCACCCTCCTCCCCATCGTTCGATTCATTTTGTGAACGTATAATTAGGTTGACCCTAGTCTTCGAGCACTGTGAAATTTATGACATTTCGGGCGAATAGTTTTTCCGATTTTCTGTTGAATACTTATGCCAATGCCAGTGCTCCAGAGGAGGTGGCTCAAGCTTCCAAATCCCCTGCTTCCGTCCCAGTGCATATTGCTTCGATCGTGTGATGCATATGCTTTCACGATACGCCCCCTCTTTATCGTAAGTCGCTTCCTTAGGGGGCGGATTTTACGATGAAAAGGCAGCTCATAGGAAATTAAGTTAGACCTAGTCAGTGATACACGAAAGAAGAAACAAGAAAACGGCCCAGAACCCGAGAAATAGGGACCCTTCCCTTGCCCGTTGATTTCTGCATTGATGCGACTATCATCGATGCTGCCCTCTTCAACACTAATGCTCTCTCAGCCAAGCGGCTAGCGGATCATACAGCGATAAGTTTTATTCACCTTGAATTCGCATTATCACTTTTTCTGTTGAACCACGAATTCATCTATAATTTGACGTAGATCACCGTGCCCATAGCGCGCCAGACGCCCTGGGGAAGGCCATGCTAAATCGCTGGGCTCATATACTTTGATGCGAATTGCGTGTTGGTCCTGCACCCATAGGAGGTCCGCCGGTCTCTCTATTAGGTGAATTTCCCCTTCTTCGGTCTTCGTCTTATCGTGGAATCCTCCTTCAGAAATATCGAAAGCATTTTCTTTCATCTGGAAATCTGCTGCACCCAGTTCCGAAGACTTCCCAAACCAATTATCCCACCCTTGAGAAAATTTCTGAAGTATGAAAAATTCACTGTATGAAAGAAAAATTTTATCCACTGCAGGCGTTCCTGTACTCTTCAAAGATCGTATCGAACCATAAATCATCAACGACGTACGCACAGTGAACGTTCGTCCACAATTTTACACAGTGATTTGCAGGAAAAAAAGGCCACGAAAGGACGTAGCCGAATTCCAAATCATTTTTTTGAAAGGTACTGGTGATCACACAGCGAGAGCAAACTGAGGTGAAACTGCTGATAAGGACTGATAATGACTAACCGAACATGGTGGCTGTATGGATTGCCAACGGCCTCTTCGGGAATCGATAAATCGAACGCTTCTATCCGATAAATCGAATAGAACACGAAAAAATGAAGAAGAAATCTCATCGATTAGGTAATCATTCGTGGAATATCTGAAGATGTTTGCATTGGGAAACCATTTATAGAAAATTGAAACTGACAACTTAATGAACCGATAAATATCGATTGGAGAGATGATACACAAGAATAGAAGATCCAAAAAATCAATACAAGATTAAGCCATGGCCAAGAACAGCAGAAACTCTCCCAAAAAAAAACAATTCAAGATGTGTGCAAACTATACTAGTAGCAATAATACCCATGGATTTTACCATGTTACTATGGTGCAAAAATGGACGTTGAATTTCAAAAAGCTGAAACTCTCAAGGAAAATGGATCAATAATATCAAAAAATTGAAAATTAAACAAAATAATAAAATACTCGATAGTTAATAGCTTGAACGAAGAGACGTTGAGATAATGTTCATGTAAATTGCCGAGGATAGCATAAAGTTAATGGTAAAGAATAAGAGTTAAGAAGATTTGGACACTAAGCCCAAAATTCCATCGACAGAAAACAGAGTTCTGAGGAAAAC